ACAGCCCTGCAGAGCAGTTAAGCTCAGTGTGGTGATTCAGGAAGCTAATCACATTCTCTCCTATGGCTTTGCCATTTTGGAATTCTTCACTTCAGCTGTGGGGGTGAGGAAGAGAGATGGAGGGAGGTAGAGAAGGAGTGGGAAGGGGGATGGAGGGAGAGATGCTGAGAGAGAGAGAAAGAGGAAGAATATGAATGAATAGAAGCTCAGAATCTAATGAAGGATTTTAGGGAACAAGTGTGGAAGTGGCCAACATACCATTTCTCTTCCTGTTCCATTTACCAGAACTAGTCACATGACCCTCGTCTACCTGCCTGGGCTTCTGGGAAGTGTGCCCTCTAACAGGAAGCAGGATAGATGAGTATTCATGTAGTCTATAGCACAATGATTAACCACATCACATATTTTCTGCTAACCATATCGCATATTTCTGCTAAAATATCTGGCAGATATTTTTCATAATACCATTTCTGAAACTCTATAATGTCAAGACCAGCAAAAGTTTTATAAATTATTGTGTTTCTTTCTTATTTTTGAAACTTGCAGAAGGTCCTGAAATCTGGTGACCTGTACTTGTGAACATTTTGTTGTGCTGTTAGTCGAGAAGCAAGGACTCTAGGTGACAGTATCTTAATAGCCATCTCACAGGCAGGTTGTTATTAAGGAGAAAGTTTTTATGTTTTGTATCTTGCTGGTGATCAATAACTGACAAAAGGCAAGAAGTTAATGATCCTGTTATGCATTGAAATTGCATGGGACAGTCCAAGTGTATTTTTGTTATGTTTTTTTTTTTTTTGGTGCCAATTTTAAATACAGTTTTATTTAAGACATTGCATTTTCCACTTAACAATACAGTGCTTATAAAGTGCAATGTTTATTTCCTTTCCCTGTGCACATATTCCATATTCAAGTATCAAGAATGCCCAGTTTTTTTTTGCTATAGCAGCTCAACGTTACAACTGCCATGGAATTTGCTACAAATTTGGGTCCTTTGAATATTGTGTGTGGAACAATGCTCAACCTATTTATTCTCAGGTTGGTTTAGTCAACCTCTTCAATGGTGGGCCCAGAGGAGGCACCACCAGAGGGAGGAGCTCCACCACCAGGGAAGCCTCCAGGCATTCCTCCTGGCATGCCCCCTGCACTCTGGTACAGCTTGGTGATGATGGGGTTGCAGACTTTCTCCAACTCTTTCTGCTGGTGTTCAAATTCTTCCTTCTTTGCAGTCTGGTTCTTATCAAGCCAGTTGATGATTTCATTGCACTTGTCAAGAATCTTCTGTTTGTCTTCATCATTTATCTTGCCCTGAAGTTTTTCATCTTCAACAGTTGCTTTCATGTTGAATGCATAAGACTCAAGTGAATTCTTGGAAGACACCCTGTCCCGCTGTTTCTCATCTTCAGCTTTGTACTTCTCAGCTTCCTGGACCATGCGCTCAATATCTTCCTTGCTCAAGCGGCCCTTGTCATTAGTGATGGTAATCTTGTTCTCTTTTCCTGTGCTCTTATCCACAGCAGAGACATTGAGGATACCATTAGCATCAATATCGAAAGTGACCTCAATCTGAGGGACACCACGAGGAGCAGGAGGTATGCCTGTGAGTTCAAACTTTCCAAGTAGGTTGTTGTCCTTGGTCATGGCACGCTCACCTTCATACACCTGAATAAGCACACCAGGCTGGTTGTCGGAGTAGGTAGTGAAGGTCTGCGTCTGTTTGGTAGGAATGGTAGTATTACGCTTGATGAGAACAGTCATGACTCCTCCAGCAGTTTCAATGCCAAGAGAAAGTGGAGTGACATCCAACAGCAGCAAATCTTGAAGGTTTTCAGATTTGTCTCCAGAAAGGATGGCTGCCTGGACAGCTGCACCATAAGCAACAGCCTCGTCAGGGTTGATGCTCTTATTCAGTTCTTTTCCACTGAAGAAATCTTGGAGAAGTTTCTGAATCTTGGGGATACGGGTAGAACCACCCACCAGGACAATATCGTGGATCTGAGACTTGTCTAACTTGGCATCCCGAAGGGCTTTCTCTACAGGGTCCAGGGTGCCACGGAACAGGTCAGCATTTAATTCTTCAAACCGGGCACGGGTGATAGAGGTATAGAAGTCGATTCCTTCATACAGAGAATCAATCTCGATACTGGCCTGGGTGCTGGAAGAAAGTGTACGCTTAGCACGTTCACAAGCAGTACGGAGGCGACGAACTGCCCTCTTGTTTTCACTGATATCTTTCTTATGTTTGCGCTTGAACTCTGCAATAAAATGGTTGACCATTCGGTTGTCAAAGTCTTCTCCACCTAAGTGGGTGTCTCCAGCTGTGGACTTAACCTCAAAGATCCCATCTTCAATAGTAAGGATGGACACATCAAAAGTGCCACCTCCAAAGTCAAAGATTAGCACGTTCCTTTCAGCTCCAACTTTCTTGTCTAGGCCATAAGCAATAGCAGCAGCAGTTGGCTCATTGATGATGCGAAGCACACTGAGACCAGCAATAGTTCCAGCATCTTTGGTAGCCTGACGCTGAGTATCATTGAAGTACGCAGGTACTGTGACAACTGCATTGGTAACGGTCTTCCCAAGATAAGCCTCTGCGATTTCCTTCATTTTCATCAAAACCATAGAAGACACCTCCTCTGGATAAAAGCTTTTTGTCTCTCCCTTGTATTCTACTTGGACCTTGGGCCTGCCAGCATCATTCACCACCATGAAAGGCCAATGCTTCATATCAGACTGGACAACAGCATCATCAAATCTCCGTCCAATCAGGCGTTTGGCATCAAAAACTGTGTTGGTGGGGTTCATCGCAACTTGGTTCTTCGCAGCATCACCGATCAATCGTTCCGTGTCCGTGAAGGCGACATAACTTGGGGTGGTCCGGTTTCCCTGATCATTGGCAATTATTTCCACTTTCCCGTGCTGGAAAACACCCACGCAGGAGTAGGTGGTGCCAAGATCAATGCCAACTGCAGGTCCCTTAGACATGGTTGCTTATGTGTGGGCCTGGCTCAGGCTGAGAAGACAGCAATCCAAAGATGTAGCCCCGCGTTCAATGAGCTATTTTTGTTATGTTTTATTTACTGCTCCAGTAAATACAGCTCACTATTGCAACTTATGTTTGTATTCAGCTCTGATGGGAAGGATGATGGCCGCTTCCTGCACCTTATATCAAATGAAGTGACTTAATCCTGCAGCTTTATTAATAATATTTCACTTGAACAGTTCTTTTCAATCATAATTGGCCTCTGCACAGACAGAGAAGTTTATTTATAAGCGTAAACCTGGGGGAGTTTATAGCTCACAGACACACCTTGAGGCCATGCTTAACTAAGCGTCTAGATTAATATATACCTCACATTTTTCAGGGTTTTGTAGTTCTGTGAATTAATTTTGGATCCCATTTCTTCTGCCACGGCTCAGATGCTTTAACACAATTAGGAAGCAAAATAACGTTCTGGCGAATCATGTGGTCTTCAGCTTCAGACAGCGAGTGGAATCCCAGCTCTGCCACTAAGTCACTCTGGGACCTTGGACCTTTTGTTGTTTGCTGTGGTTGCCTAGGAATTTCTAGTAACAAATACCAGACTGATGGCTTAAACAGCTGAAATTTATTTTCATACAGTTCTGGAGGCTAGAAGTCTCAGATCAAGTTGCTTGTGGGGTTTGTTCTTGATGAGGCCTGTCTCCTTAGCTTTTTGATGTCCACCTTCCTGTGTCTTCACAGACTCTTCTCTCTGTACCCTTAGGGTATCAGCCACTGAACTTGAATCAGGAGCACTGCTAGCCCCACTGACTCACTCCTTTTTCCTCCAGCAGCTGAGCTGCCCAGTTTTTCTTTTGAAACGACCCTGGAATATATGTCTTTTAATAAAAGTTAATAATGACAGCTAGGATTGTCACATATAAATACATGTGAATTTATATGAAGTAATTTTTAACTGACTATAAAATAACAGGTACATTCACTCTTATGATCATAAAGGCTGAAATATGTCTTATCAGGAATTAGTGGGAAATGTTATTCATCAGTTTAATGGTTACCTTTTTTTCCTGTACCTCTTATTACCTTTCTTTTTTCAAGTTCTATTTCTGTTTCTACTCATTCATTCATTCATTCATTCAAGTGGGGTCCATGCCCAGTGTGGGGCTTGAACTTATGATCTTGAGATCAAGAGTCACATGCTGTACCAGCTGAGCCAGTCAGATGCCCCCTATTTACCTTTCTGTTAAAAAAAAAAATACCTGCAAGGGGCGCCCGGATGCCTCAGTCATTAAGCGTCTGCCTTCGGCTCAGGTGGTGATTCCAGGGTCCTGGGATCAGGCACTGCATCGGGCTCTCTGCTCAAGGGGAAGCCTGCTTCTCCCCCTCCCACCTCCCTGCTCCTTTCCTCCCTCTCCCTGTGTCTCTGTCAAATAAATAAACAAAATCTTAAAAAAAAAAATACCTGCAGTAATAACGAAACAATGCCCCTTCCTGTCAATCCCTCTCTATGCATTTCTCTTCCCTCACCAGTCTACATCTTCTAACACTAAATCATGACTGGGAAACCTAAATATATACAGTTTTTATTTATCAGTCATACCTCAATACATCTAGAAAATAATAAACTTGCTGTTCCATTTTAAAAGTATGGAGAGGGCACCTGGGTTGCTCAGTGGGTTAAAGCCTCTGCCTTCAGTTCAGGTCATGATCTCAGGGTCCTGGGATAGAGCCCTGCATTGGGCTCTTTGCTCAGTGGGGAGCCTGCTTCCCCCACTCTGTCTACCTGCCTCTCTGCCTGCTTGTGATCTCTCTCTCTGTCAGATAAACAAATTCTTAAAAAAAAAAAAAAAAAGTAGTACGGAGGGTAGTGCCACAGCATCACTGCCTGCCTGCTCTTCTTTCCTTTCTGGTCCTTCTGTTATTGTTGCTTTTTTTGGTACTTATGTGTCTCATTCCTGAAAGTATTCTGAAAATTTGCCTTTTTATTTTTTACTTTGTTTAATTTAGCTTTTAATTTTTTTTTTTTTTTTCAGAAAAGAGCAAGTTAGTACCTTGTATCTAAACATCAACCTTGTGGAGCCAAGACTAATTCAGTCGTACGAGCATATTATAAGGAATTTTATCCGTGAGATCAAACTGCAGAGCACAGAAATGGAAAACCTGGCCATTGCAGTGAAGAGGTATTGAATTCCTTCCTGTCTGTCTGTCGTCGTCGTCGTCGTCGTCGTCGTCGTCCTCCTCCTCCTCCTCCTCCTTCTTCTTCTTCTCCTTCTTCTTCTTTTGTTAAAGATTTTTTTACTTGTTTGACAGAGAGAGACAGTGAGAGAGGGAACACAAGAAGGAGTGGGAGAAGGGGAAGCAGGCTTCCCACTGAGCAGGGAGCCTGACATGGGGCTCGACCCCAGGACCTTCGGATCCTGACCTGAGCTGAAGGCAGACACTTAACCGACTGAGCCACCCAGGCACCCCTCTTCTTCTTCTTCTTTTTTTTAATAGAGAGATAGAATGAATGTGAGTGGGGGTGTGGCAGAGGGGTAGAGGGAGAGAGAATCTTAAGCAGGCTCATATGTGGACGTGGAGTCCAACACAGGGCTCGAGTTGATGACCCTGAGATCATGAGCTGCACCAAAATGCAAAGTTAGATGCTTAACCGACTGAGACACCCAGGTGCCCCAAAGCCCTTCCTTTCTGAGTGGTAGGGGAGTCTTTTAACTGGCTCTGTGTCCAGGAGGCATGTGGACTGAACTGCACGATCCCATTATGATGTGGGTGGACTTCCTGAACCTCGGGCATCTGGAGCTTCCTAAGCTGGGCCAGCACGAAGGCTTAGTCGGGAGGATGCTGTAAGGACCGCCAGCAGTCCATTAGTAGGTCACCGTGATCCTATCCTATAAACTTTTCAAGACCAGTGATTCCATCCAGAACAGTTCTGACAGGTTTGTTACTGTATATCCATCCTCTTGAAGCCTACCGGAAATGTCTCATCTGGAGGGGCAGACAGGACAGCCCTTGAAGCCTGGCCTGGTCATGGGCCGGTGTGTGACGTTGGGCAGGTTCCTGCGTTTGCAGAACGAGAGTGTAAACATCCACATTCTCAGGGTGTGGAGGCCCAGGAGATGATGTCCCGGGTGGAGCCCCACCCCAGGCTGACCACATGGTGTGTGCTCAGTGGTGGGATTCCTCCTGTCTCTGGCCTTCCTCACCCAGCCTGTACTGGAAGACAGAAAGCTGTAAGCCCATACTGTCCTATGGCTTGTGTAAGCCGTAGCTGGTTTACATAGGATATCTTACTGGTCTGACCAGCAGCCCAGGGCAGAGGAAGGGATTACATGTGTTACAGTCCAAACGTCAGCCTCTTTGTTCCCCAGAAGGACTGCAGTCCTCTGGCTTTAGTGGGAAAGAGAGCATTTTGTTTGTTATAATTCCTGGCTGTTCTGCCCCGTAGTGGCTTTTGGTGGTGGCCATTTCACCAGTGTCTCTGAGTGTGGGGCGTGTCCTGCTGGCCTCTGCCCAGAACTTGTAAAGGCCCCTTTGATAGGATGCACCCCACCTGCAAGGGAGCAGGAGAGGGTATGCCTCGGTCTCTTTATTCTTTCCTTCCACCTGATGATCAAGCTATCTAGTTAACCTTTTGGAGTTTAAGCGAAGGGACTTAAAATATAGGAGTGTTTTCAAACATTGATGCTACATAGGACTTTCTATAGTTCAGGAGTCATGCGAGAGTAGAGGCATCATGAACATTTCAGTTCCTGACTCTGAAATTTTCTCTCAAATTTGTCTTTTGGGGTTTTCAATAGGAGAGTAGGGCGGTCGTATGAACTCCAAATTCTGTAAACTAGGGGTGATTCACAGACCCACTTATTGAGTTTTTAGAGTGTCCAGGAATATCTGTTAAAACAGACAAGCTTCCATGCACACACATACACACACACACACGAATTTATATGTGACCTTTAAGGATAGTACCATCTAAACCCACAAGGGAAAAAAGAATGTCGTTCTTCATGTTATCATCACCAGCCAGGCTGCTGTCCCTCTGAGAAGGGAATGTCTTACCTGTGCTGAGCTGTGTTCCTGCTTGTCTCCTCCCTGCTACTCAGCTGTTGGAGTGGGAGCCAAAGTCAGGCTCTGTCCCAACTACCAGAGACCTCACTGAGGTGCTTCCGTGATGACTGTGAAGTTCTCCTTTGTTCTTACCTGAGGACCATCACCCTCACCTGGGGTTATGGATGGGGGCAGATCTCTATCTTTTCACTCTGCACTTGGACCTAAAGGATGGGCAGTGTCTGGATGGGAGCCCTGGACTAGGATAGAGTGGACAGTCTTCATCACACCAGACATTTCACTATGAGCTAGGAATTGTTGGGGCAAACACGGTGTCATTATAGACTTATACCTGACTTATTAAAAAAAAAATGTTGCTCAGAAGTGAGGAAGGCAGAAAGAACACATTCAGGAGCAGTACTGGATATCGAGAAGGAGCGGTTGGAAAAATGGTAATAGGAGGAGGAGGGATGTGGGACTTGGCTGTTTTATAGTCCTAGAGTTGAGCAAACCAAACAAACTTTCTGTGGAGATATGTAGTTCTTAGATGTCATATAGCAGGTATTTATAAACGAACCAGAAATAGCTAACTCTCCAAATGAGGTTAACATCTCTTCAGGCGGGCTGTCAGGTAAGAATGAAGAAAACACAAGGGGAAAATTTTATTTTGGGGCCTTATCCCCACCCCTCAGGACTCACTTGGCACTTTATATAGAAATTAAAGTGATGTATGCACAGACCATGTTAACAAGGGAGCCAGCAAGTGGAAAGCAGGAAAAATGGTGTCCCGGAGCCATCAAACTGGAAGACAGGAGATCTTCTGTTAGGTTCTTTTTTTTTTATTTTTTTTTTAAGATTTTATTTATTTATTTGACAGAGATCAGAAGTAGGCAGAGAGGCAGGCAGAGAGAGAGGAAGGGAAGCAGGCTCCCTGCCAAGCAGAAAGCCTGATGCGGGGCTCGATCCCAGGACCCTGGCACAGTCTTTAACCCACTGAGCCACCCAGGCGCCCCATGTTAGGTTTTGTTGTCTACTTTTTATCAATGTTATGTCATTGACCCTCTAAATCCCGTGACGGCTCTTGCCATCTAGTTTAATAGGCAAGACTTATGAATGAGAAACTTAGATAATTGGACATACATCAGAGAGAGAGAATAAAAAATACATTTTTTAGGGTTTAATCTGCAGCCTCGACCATTATAGAGTGACAGATGTCTCCATACTAGCCAGTTGCTCAGGAAAACTATGCCACAACTCTCCTCAATGACATGTTCCCATTTCTAACTTTTTGGCAAATCAGTGTGCTCTTCATCTGTAGAGAGGTGATTTGGGGATTAGTAAAGGAAACAGAATTTTTCTACAATGTAAAGACTATTTTTATTCTAGAACTTTAGGAAGCTGATTAGAAATAATTGTTGAGGTTCCTTTTATCCCCTTCTCACAGTAGCATATAACATTGTGTGTTTTCTATAAGCATTTCAGAATTCTATCCAAAGATCTATTTGCTGTGGGGTTCTTTTTTTTTTTTTTTTTGGTCCAGGATTGTCACTCAGTTGTGGGAGCAAAAAGGATTTTCAGAATTTATCGAGAGCTTCCCAGTGATTTGATATCTTTAGCTGTTCTTTGCCACAATCTAGGTTAACACTATTTTGTCTAATTTATACCATTTACTAAATATCTAGTTTTAATGTTATTTTACACCCAAGTGGTCAAAGTGCCAATCCTGTTTTATGATGTGGAAGAATAGGAAATATTATTTAAAATAGTGTGTTTCTCCTCATCTATAACATAGGGGTTGAAAGAGACGAGGTTGAAGTGGTCTCTGCAGGTTGCAGTGAAAAGGTGTGCACCCTCTTGAATTTCAGAGCCCAGGACAAGGCAGCCATGCAGCTGAGTGAGTTGGAAGAGGAAATGGATCAGAGGATTCAGGCAGCAGAACACAAGATGCGTAAAGATGTGAGTTTGTGGGATTGGCCCTTTCTTTCCACAGTTCCTGATGGATCGCCTTTTACAGACCAGGCACCGGGCAGGGTTTTCCATGAGGGCTATTTTTGGTAGTGGTTTTGGGGGGAGAGCGAGGGGAGAGAGAGATAATAAATAATCATATAATGTAGATAATGTCAGTAGCTACGAGTAAAGAGCAAGTGTGGTCAGCAACGATGGGGAGAAGAGGTCAGCGGGTCAGGGGCCTCTCTGTGGAGGTGCTGTGAGAATGGAGGCCCGAGGAAGAAGGCAGAGCCCCCTGGGGTAGAGAAGAGTGACTCAGCTTTTATGCCACAGTCTCCCTGACCATGCCCACTGCCAACTTTAAATCTAGATTGCAGGTAAATTAAAATTCTGTCTGCGAACTTCAGTGTTTTATAATAAAAAGTACTTTTATTCATCACTGAGTAAACACGACAGTTGAAACTTTCTTACCATCACTGATTTCCATAGTAGCAATGTTTGCGTTTTTCCTTATAAACTACAGCTGGGTGATGCATGTTTACTGGAAATGGAAAATAGACTTACCTGTAAGGCTAATGTTGGGTTGAACATTCTCTATTCATTTGCCCTGTTACCTCCAAGAGGCAGCAGGATGGAGTGAGACGGGCCTGAGTATTGGCATCTGATTGGCCTTAATGTGCTTCCCGGCTCTGCTTTTGCCCAGGCAGGTGGCCCTGGGAAAATAACCGGACCTCTGATCTTGGTGGTGCCATTTTTAGAATGAGGTAATGCACCAGCCTGCTTCACGGAGGCCCAGCCTGATGTACGTGTGAGTGCATAGCACCGGGCCTGAGGCGTGCTGACTGCATCCTGGCTGTGGCCGGCCTACTCTTTTCCGTGGCTCTTCGTACTTTGTGTCCTTCCAGATTCTTTGCCTTGGTCTGCTGTACCCCATATATGACTTCGGGTCTCTTTGTTGTCTTGTCTCTTACTGGCAAGTTGAGTAACTGTTGGGATGTCATGTTCAGCAGAGTCAGAGGCTCAGAGTCCGTGGGCCCGCTTTAGTGCAGTGGAGATCCCATTCTTCTGTTAGCACTCCATTTGTTGTAGTCTAGAAACAGGAAAATCATATATTTTTTTCTGCCTTTTTTCCCTCTCCGTGCAGCTAATCTGTGTGCTCATTCCTTCATCGAACACTCACAAGCGCACGTGCTCTTCTGCCGTCAGTCTCACTGCTTCTTAACCAGCAGACTTGTGGTTGGTGTTGGAGCCCTTAGCAGGGCCCCCACACCCTGTAACTTCATGTTTGGCTCAGCTTGGCTCCCTGTGGTTCTGCATCTCACAGCTCTGGTCCGGCGTGATCATCGCTATTCCTTCTCTCCATCTGCTTTCTTTGCCCCTCCTTTCCATTTTCCCGAACTCAGCCAAGCTTAGAGAAAGTCTCCCCGTCTCCTTGATGCTCCCTTGCAGTCCTCTGGCCATATTCACCTCTTCCTGACCTTGATTCCTTTTGCCCCTACAGTGTTAGTCCATTGCTCCCAGTAAGTATTTTAGACTGTAATGGCTTTCTTAAAGTAGAACTGACGCACAAGGAGCTGCATATTTACAGTACAGAACACGATAACACTGGGTGTACCCATACTTCAGGAATCCACCACCAACAGTCAAGATAATGAGTGTATCCGCCCACCATCTAAGTTTCCTCAGGCCCCTTTGTCATGCTTCCCTTCCTCCGTCCTCTGCCCTTCTTGCCAGGCAACCGTGAAATGTCTGTTAAAATCTTTTGTTCACTTTGAAAATTAGATGGTTTTCTTATTATGCAGAGTTTTTTTTTTTTTTAAATACAATTTTCTTTCAGACTGATTTATTTATTAGAGAGAGCATGAGCAAGAGGGGCAGAGGGAGAGGGAGAGAGAATCTCGAGCTGACTCCACACAGAGCCCGACCCCAGGACCTTGAGATCTGATCTGACCTGAAACCAAGAGTCAGACACTTAACTGACTGCACCACCCAAGCACCCCTGTTATGGAGTTTTGAGAGCTCTTTATATATTCTGATTTTAAAATTCTTTCCCCATGGTGACTTGTCTTTTCATTTTCCTAACTGTATTTTGAAGAGTAGAAATTTTTCATTTTGATGAGGTCTGATTTGTCAATTTTTCTTTAATGGATCATGCTTTTGTTGTCTAAGAAATCTTTGCCTAACAAAAGTTCACAAAGATTATTCTGCTGTTTTCTTCTGTAAGTTTTATTTGTTTTAGATTTTACATTTAGGATCCATTTTGCAAGATGTGGATCAAAGTTCATATTTTTTTTGCAGGTGGATATCCAGTTGTTCCAGCACCATTTGTTGGAGTTTCTTTGTTCTCCACTGAATTGCCTTTCTACTTTGTCCCACGTTGGTTTACTGTATTTGTGTGGCTTTATTTCTGAGCTCTCTGGTGTGTTCCATTGATTGCTTTATGCCAGTATTACATTGTTTTGGTGACTATTGCTTTATAATAAGTCTTGAAATCAAGTAATATTAGTTCTTCAACTTTGTTCTTTTTCAAAGTTGTCTTGGCTATTTTAGATCCTTTAATTTCCATAGCATCAGCTTGTCAATTTCTTAAAAACAAAAAAAACCCCAAACCTTCTGGGGGTTGATTTGATTTCATTGCATTTATAGATCAATATGGGGAGAATTGGCATCTTAACAATAATGAGTAATTTGATCCATAAACCGGATGTATTCTCCACTTATTTAGGTCTTCTTTAAATTTTCTTAGCAATGTTTTGTAGTATACAGCCTTCAGGTCTTGTAAGTCTTTCCTCAGATTCATTCCTAAGTATTTGATATTTTAATGCTACTCTAAACAATGTTGTTAAAAATTTCAATTTCTGGTTTCCCATTGTGAATATATAGAAATACACTTGATTTTTACATACAGATCTTATACCCTATCATATTTGTTTACATTGCTCACACTCAGTAGCTTTTTGGGTAGATTCCATCAGACTTTCTAGGTAATGGTATATAATCTATGAATAAAGATAGCTTTATGTCTCTCTTTCTGATGTGAATGTTCACTCTCATTTTTCTCTCCTTATTGCACTGGTTAGAACAAGGAAAGTGAGAGCAGACATCCTTATCTACAATCTCTCTCTTAACAAGAAGTATGATGTTGGTGGCATGTTGTTCATAGATGCCCTTTATTGAATTTTGAGCATGTTCCTGGTTGGCTAAGAGTTGTTGTTCTAATTAGGAATGGAATGTTGGATTTCATCAAATGCTTTTTCTCTAGCTATTGAAATGATCATGGCTTTTCTCTTTTTTTGACCATCAATGTGGTAATTACATTGATTTTCAAGTATTAAAACACACTTGCAGTCTGGGGATAAACCCCACTTAGTTATGATGTATTTTCATTTTTATATCTTGGTTAATTCATTTTGCTAAATTTTGTTTATTATTTGTGCATCCATATTCATTCAAGAGATTAGCTTGTGGGTTTCTCTTAATGTGTTTGATTTTTGTTTCAGGCCAGTGCTGGTCTCACAGAATGAGTTGGGAAGGCTTCCCTCCCTTTCAGTTTCCTGGAAGTTTGTGATGAGTTGGTCTGGAGCACTACCATTTCTACCTAAGTTACTGTAACGACCCCCCATCCGATCTCTTGGTGTCTGCCTGTGACAGGTTGGGAATGGAAAGAGCTACATAGTGGTGATTTCCTTTATTAAGCTCTGAACCAAATATTTTTACACCATAAAAGTTGTTATGTTTAGCATCATGGCGCTGGTTTTAGCCAGAAGACTTGCCGAGATGCCAGGAAGTCTGTCCGAGGTAGATGCTCATTGGGAGGCTTCATGTCTTCATCTGCCTGTGAGGGGGCAACACTTGCTTCCTCACCTGTAAAGCTGAATAAACTCAAGAGACTCGCTTGAAACAAGGTTACCATGAGTGAAGATGTTGTTCTTCTCCATACATTTCCTCCTAAGAATAGAACATTTCATTTGCATGGATTATTTAATTTATATGGATTATTTAATTTACTTGGATAATTTAATATAATTCTCGCATTAATCCAGTAAGGAAATGGAGGCTTCAAGTAAGTTGTCTCAGCTAGACAGCCAGTAAGTGGGATGTAAGACCGTGTAACTCCAGCAGGTGTTCAGACATGGGGTCATGTCTCCCCTGCAGAGAGGCCTTACCTTACCTCCCAACTCACTTCCTGTCACATCTCACTGTTAGCTTCTTCTTGTATTGCTTCCTGAGATCATCTTTGCTTCCTGTCTTCTCCCACCAGGATGCCTGTTGGTCTTCATTGCTCCTGCTCTGTCCCTCTGTGCTCAGGACTGTTGGCATATAGGAAGCTATCAGTGCATATCTGAACACTCAATTTCACTGGCTATTAACATAAAAATTTATTTGAGTTCTAAACATAGGGTTTAAAGTTCCATGCTTTGTGAAGAAGAAAGGGAAACTTGAAGATATCTGGGCTCCTGGGTGCTGCAGCCCTTGACCTCCTGGTGTGCCCCTTGGCATTCTCTGATCCAGGCAGGATACATCTGAGAAGAGCCAGCCCAGGCAGAAGCACTTAGCATAGAAATTTACAGGTGATGTGATTTGAATTCAAGTAAGGTGTAAGCTTTTGGAAGAAGGATACACCCACTGGACCTTCCTGGGCCCTGATGCCATGATAGGGTGCAGGCCAAGCACTTGGGCCCTTGGCTCTTGCTGTATCTTTTAATTAACAACA